TTAAAAAAAGGAAATATGCAACGTTTTATTACGTGTAGTAAAAATTTAAAGGGATCATCAGTATTCTCCCGGAATTAGAAGGGGCCCTGCTGGGTCCTGGGTGGTGGGGCGGCACCATACCGCAAGCCTTTCACAACGACGTGCTCAGCACCGACAACATAAAGACCGTAAAGAGAAAAGAGACGGGCGCCTTTATGTTCCCGAACTGTTTTATTTATGTTTGTTCCTCTGTCCAGGTGGAAGGCGGTATGCTACCACTACGTCCGGCGCAAGCGCCAGGTGACGCGCTATCGCCACGGCGAGGGCTACACGGCCACGCAGGTCTACTACGAGCGCGTCAACTCGCACGCCGCCGCCTCCGAGTTCCAGGCGGCCGCCTGCGGCGTGAGGGACATCTCCAAGGAGCTGGTGCTGGACCCGCCCGCGCCCGTCACCCGCATCCGCTTCAGCAAAGGTCAGAGCAAAAATGCGGGAGTGATGAATGTGTCTCGGATAAAACGACTGAAAGAATTTGTCGTTGTTCAATTAAAGCGATGTCCGTTTCGTTGGTATTATGTGCATCATCATCATCATGATGGATGATCATATGTAAACATCGCTCCGTATAATAAGGATGGTTTGGATCCTCGCTTCTTTGGAGCGAACTTTATCATTCTAATAAAGCTATGTTTTCCAAAGCAACTATTCAAAAAGATCGACAAAAGAAAGCGTCGCTCTACGAGGAGAAACGAAGTTGGAGGTAATGCGTCGCTTTTCAAGAGTTACAAAAATTGCTCGTTATTTTACGATGTATTGTTTAAAAATAACGAAGAGTTTGTGTTAATAAATTTACACGGAAGTTTTAGTAAAATCACGATATAATTTCCAACAGTGCAGTGCACTCTACTCGCGGAGGGCTCGAAGCGGTCGGCGCCTTACGAGAGCCGGGTAGGCAGGCCCGCTGTGCACCGCTGTGCGGCGGGTCTGCCTACCGCACAGGCGCTCCCGCGCCGGGACCACTTGGCGCGACTTCTATCTCTCCACCTTACAGACAAATAAAAACAAACAAAAAAGCATTTTCAGTCCTTTGCAAAAAAATACAGAATAAAAAGAAGAAAAAAAACGTCCAGGTCCACTCTGCCCTTCTCACCCACTTTTGCTCCCTGTCCTGAGCCAGCTGCGCTGCTGTCGCCGTTTCGCGCCGAAAGTTTTTGAAGTTGCAAACGGGACTGTAACACTTGCGGCGAATGCGCCCCTAGTGGGGCCCCGGTGGAGCAGTGCGGGCCTGGCCGGTGTGGCGCAGCGGCCTCGCTCGCCGAGGGGGGAGCCGCACCGCCGGCCTCGGCCCGCTACTGTGAAGGACTCAAAGTGGCACAAAGGGCCCGCCGATTCATCATGGACGCGGTTTGCTCTTCTCTCGCTCTCCCCAGGATTACCAAACTGAATGCTCTCCCCTCTTTTCCCCTCTCTTTGTCTCTGCATCTCATTCACACTTTGTTCATCTCTTGTCTTTTTTTTTCGCGCTGAACCTCGTAGCAGGCAAGGCCAAGGTTGTTGGAATTTTTTAAGCGTCGCAACGCAGTCGCCGGAATTATTCGCTCGTTTTATTTGAGCTACGCGCAGCCACGCTGGAGCCGAAGGGACCTCGCGCCTTTAGTAAAACAAACAAACGGGTTGCGAGGGGGGTTGAGTGAGAGGGGGCGGAAACGCGAGCAGCGCGCGGGAACCCTCGCGGAAAAAGTAAAACTGTCCGGCAGCTTTTTCAGGAATTGAGTTGAGCGGCTTGCGCCCCAGTTGAAATAAATGTGTGAGTGGTGGTGGTGGCTGTGGTGAATGGGGGGAGGGAGGGGTCGTGTGTGTGTTTTTCTGCGGTGCTGACCCGCGGCTCACACATGCAGGCGCCCACGGCCATAAGGCCCTTTGGGAGTCTTTGGCTGGCCGGCGCCCCGGCGGCGCCCCTAGGGCCCCGCCGGGGTCCTCGGGGGTCCTTTGGGCGCCACTGGCCTGGGATAATGGCTGGCCTTCTCCCCTACACGCCCGGCCGCGCCCGGCTGGCCGGCTCGGCTGCCCGGTCTGGCTCTGGCTGGCAGCTCGGTCTGGCCGGATGGTCGCGGCAGGCAGCAGCCGCAAGGCGCCGCCACCGGCACTGAATGAAATAGACCTTTGTCGGGGGGTGGGTGCGGGCGCGCGGACTACACCCGGCGCCCGGCAGGAAAATGATTTAATTCTTTCTTTTTTTTTTCCTGCCTTATTTTGCTGCTCGCGGCCTTTCGCTTTCCCTTTCTTTTACGTTGCATAATGCTGTCGACACGAGGACCTCAAAAGAATTACTTCCTCGTTTCATCAAGTCGTTTCTCTCGCTTTGCTATAATGGTACTTACCATTTGAGCGTTCTAATCGGGTTCGCCGCAACGTTAGGGGCTGTACGGGAGGGTAAGTGCGCTATCCGGGCACTTTTCTTTTCTGGTTGTACTCGTGCGTCCGGCTAAGATCACCCACCCTGCATATAACAGTGGCAACAGAACTGATTCTATAAAGGGAAGAAAGAAAAAAGACGTAACTCATCTGGCATGAGGATTCATTGTGTCAGTAGTGGTCAGTGCTAGGTGCGGCTGCATGTCCTTAGAGACTCTCTGGAGCTCGACTCATCGAGGTTTCTCCTGCTGGGCCCGCAGGCTTTGCCTTCTCTAACGTGGAGGCGGCGGCGGACTTCGAGGAGCAGCGTGCACGCTTCTTCTCTGAGCACGAGCGCTTCGACGACTACATGGAGATGCGCGAGGGCCTGGACCTGGGCGGCGCCGGCGGCGTGCCCTTCTTCCGGGAGCTGGTCGTCGCGTACCGGGACCGCAAGCCGTGGTACTACCGGCCCGCCGTGTTCTGGTCCGCCAGCCTGCTCCTGCTGTCGTGGCCCGTGCGCCTGCTGCAGGAGTACAACACGGCGCACGTGCACTACCAGGTAAGTTTTGTCAACATTCCATATTAACATTTTGTTGAAGTTTACCGTTGGGGCCGTTTTTGAGAGGTTTGGTACAGTTGACAGTTTACGTCAAGGCTTGATTGAGCACTATTAGTTAAAAAACAAAAAAAAAACAAAAAAAAAACAAAAAAAAACAGCAATGTTCGTATTACATACAAAAGGTAGGTTTGTAACAAAGTATCTGGAGCAGCATCCCAACAATTTTTATTCGTCTTGCGAACAACCCTAGTTTGAATTGCGAAGAGACGAGGCTTTTTGCAATAAAAAGAATTTGGGTGTACTACAAATGATCCATATCCTTTGTGCGTGACAAAGAGCAATTGTTTGTAAGAAACGTACAGTGCATGGTTTCTCCTCGTCCTCCAGGTCACGAAGCTGTTCGGGGGTAACTACGATGCTGTGACCGCGGGGCCACGGACTGACAGCGCCGACTGGCTGGGTGGCGGCCGTCTGTCGCACGGGTCGACGTTGGACTCGATTGAGTGGGACTCGTGCATCAGGGAGAACTGCGCGCTCATCCCCAGCTACTCGGAGGCGCTGCTCATGGACGAGGACGGGCCTGCAGACAGCGCCGTCGACGTGGACGTCGACGAGGCCGACGAACATCGGTCGCTGGTCAGTAGTTCCTATTCTTCCTACAATTCGGAATAACTAAATCACTAAATCGGTAGGCAGCTAACCAACCAGTATAGAAGCAATAGAAGGGGTAGCACCACTCCGGCCTCAGGTGGTGGTGCTTATTTCTGGAATACATTCTGCACTGTGAAATGCTTGCAACGCAACGCTCAAGAAAGTTGTGCGGCGTGATGGTGGTGCAAATCATACTCCCTTATCAAAGATAAAATCAAATCACGCCTTCCAGATTAATAATAACCTGCCTTTCATATCATTTCTCCTGCCAACCCTTTTGTCTTTGGTGCAGGTGGATGCGGGGGACGCGGGCCAGCGCGCTGACGGCCATCCCGAGCCAGCCGGCGCGGGGACGGGGGCCGCGGGGACGCAGGTCAGCCGAGATAATCTGGTAAGAGCGCGCCGCCCGGTGTGGCGCAGCGTGGCGTGGCGTGGCGTGGCGTGGCGTGGCGTGGCGTGGCGTGGCGTGGCGCGGCGTGGCGTGGGCCGGAGTGCCTCGTATCACATCGCCAGTGAGCAGCATAATCCTTTTTGCTCGCACTCCAGTGGGTTGGTCGTGGCGCCGCGAGGGGTCGCGCTGCTTGCGACGGCTGCTCGCGCTACCCCCCGCGGCTCACGGCTCTACCCCGCGCCACCCCCGCGACGACACACCTCGCTCACCCCGCTCTCTCTCCCTCTGCAGGGCCGGCACAAACGGCGCTCTTGGGGTTGCCTTCTCCGGTCCGTGGCCTCCATGGGCTCCGTCGGCACTCTGGGGTCCGTGGGCTCGGTGAGCCTGGCCACCGTGGCAGTGGGGGCGACGGTGGGCTCGCCGTCGGGTGCGGAGCAGGAGCAGCAGCTGTACTACCCCAGCCCGCTGGCGGAGCGGAGCCCCGGCGATCCGTTTCAGGGCCGCAGCACGGAGATTCCGACCCGGGGGCCACCGCAGCCGCCGCCGCCCTACGAGGAGGCGCTGGAGACCACCGTGCGCCTGATGTGCGCCCCCGCCGCCCCGGGCGCCGACGCACCGCTGCTCTCCAGGCTGCGCCGCTCCCTCACGGACCGCGGCGACGCGTTCCGGGCCGGGCGCGCCTCCTGGTCGGCGACGCCGTCGTGGAACGTCCTCGGCGACGTCCCCGAGACGCTGCCCAGGACGCCGCGGCGCTGCTCCGAGACTCCGCCGCCCCGGGCCGCACCGTGCATCAACATGGAGACTAGCTTGTAGAGAGCACGCCGGTGTGGTTGCGGACGTTTACCTGAAATGTTCATGCTGTGATTTCCTTGAAGTAGGGCCGGAGACAGTTCGGACTGTAATGCTTATCTCTGAGCAATTTGCGCTCACTGACGTGGCCCTTGTCAAACTAGATTTATATTTTTAGACCTAAATCGTCCCGAAAAGACTCGTTGACGAATGTCACGATCGCCGTCCTTACCTGATGGGACCTTTATCTAAAACCGCTCAAGTCGCACGTACTTTCGCTTGCGGAGGAAAACTGTTTCATGGAAACATTTTAGAGAAGCCGTCCAAGCTTTAAGATGTAAAATTCGTGTCAATTCACAGGTACTGTGTGACTCATCGTTGTTATGAAGCATATTGCTTTGTTGTTAAGATGCAGAAGTTTGTTCTTTTGCCCATGTAAGGTTTAACTACCGTAACTTTTTCACGTTATTGTACGTTATGACTGCTTTGATGCGGGCACCATGCCAAAGTTTAAGCACAAAGTATTTAAATGTGTCCATTTTAAATTGTAAATTAGTTAATATTCAACCAAAACATATCCTTGGTCTCGTGCTTCCTGCCGGCAAAGGGTGCCCTGTAGACTAAAAAGGATTTGCGTGTTCCCTTCGATGGATTGATAGCATTGATTAAAACTTGATTCGTTTCATAACCCTGATTGTTGTCATTAATGTGTTAGGGGTGTGTGGGAATAAGGAAACACAACAGAAAACAGTCTGGTTGGTGGATCTCAGTTCTGTAATTCAATAATTTCGCTTGTACAGATTGAAAACGTTGAGCAAAGGTTCTCGATTACCTCATGAATCCATAGTTTTAGTTGTTTGAATGAAATCCGTTTTGGAAGTAATGCCTTCATTACAAAGAATAAGCAAAAATAGTACATTTTTAAAGTTTATGTTGTGACAGATGAAATTGAATTATGTGAAGTTATATTTTTGATTTGGACTGCAAAAAATCCACCAGGAAAAAGTAAAAAAAAGTCTCCTAACCGTGCATGGAATTTGTTTTTGGCTTGCTATGTGGCCTGCGTTCAGTCAGTAACGTTTGGCCTGGCTGCCGCAATTCTGATCGTGGCCACGATTCGATCTCAGTCCCGGCAATGTGGGACTGAAGGAGGCAGCGCTGCTTACCTCACTTTCCGTCAATCCTGGACATGATGCAGTCGAATGAAGAGAATAAATAAATGTGGTTATGAAGTCCGGCGTCATGGAAAGAAGAAAAAGGGGGGGGGGGGCACAAGTAGTTGGGAAAGGAAAAAGATGGATTTGGAAAGACAGGACAGAGAAGAAAATATGAAAGAGATAGCGATGAAGTCTGAGTTTCGGAGGTACCAGCGCACGCAATGTGCGCTGGTTCGTAATAGTAAAGTACATTGGCGGGCGGGTGTGTCGGGGCAGAGTTCCCCCTCCCCCGCACCCCAGCGGTGGGGGCAGCTCGCAAAAGAAGAAAGAGGGGCTTGTCTACACTCAGTCGATGTATTCTTGTAAACACTAATTCATCAACCGCATACAGCTTCGCCCTTTCTATCGTTACATATTTTCGCTCTAAGGCAAAGAATGGCTAGGGGGTGTCTGAATGGCTACCCCATCGGGTCGTTTTTTTCTTTCGAGGTCCAAACAACGACGAGCTTTACAAAATAAGTCAACACTTCACTGTTTCACTTTTTTTACGAAAATGAAATGGGGTCGGTACAGAAATGATTTGGACGCTGCCGCGCTGGGAATGGGGCTCAGGGGGCCGAGGACGAGACGCAGGGCCCTCCAGGAGCAGGTCAAGATCGGCGGCTCACTCTTCGTGCTTTCACACCCGCGCTCCAAGGTAGGTGGGTGGTCATCAGACTACCCGTCGCCGCCTACCAGTAGGTGAGGTAACCTGCAGGCAGAAGAGGTGCTATAGTGAAAGGGGGAGGGGAGGTAGGCTTGCTCACAGAGAAAAGACACACAGAGAGCAGACGGACGGTCAGACAGGCAGAAAGACAGACAGACAGACAGACAGACAGACGGACGGACAGGGTCCGTAAGAGGAATAAGGGGGGGCGCCTGGCCCTGGCCTCCAGCGCCTTACGAGCACTGGCTAGGCAGACCCGCCGTGCATCACTGCACAACGGGTCTGCCTATCCACAGGCGCTCTCTGACTCCCTCCTTGTCATTCGCACTTTACAGCCGCTGACATCCACTGACCAAGACCAGACCAGACGGCATTCGATGCACGGGCACACCAAGACTACGTACCGAACGGCCTGCGGGGGTGCTTGTCCCACAGGTAGGTGCTCTTGATGGGGGACAGGTAGGAGGAGCGCAGGTAAGACGGTGAGTGCCATGGCCTGTAGTGGTAAGGGTAGGCGTACGGCCTCAGCTCGGGGTATTCCCACCACCAAGGGTCTCGGGTGATCGCAGACTTGGACATGGAGGGTGAGGGCTCGAGCAGTTCACGGAGTGGCCGCCGGGTCCAGCCACCGCGATTGTACAGGGGCTGACCTGCATGCACACCATGCCAGGAGAGGGTCAGGGCAGTTCGAGCACAATGCACATACAGACACTGGGACATACATTCAGTCTTCACAAAAAGGACAACAGTGAATACATGTACTGAAAAAACATATGGTGCAGTGGACTAAAAAGGTGGCATGCGATGCCTTGAATATATTTTACCTAATTGGGTACGTTCTTCTGGAATCCGTGCTGAAATAAAGTAACATATTTGTGAATTGACATGCTCTGTTCATCCTGCTAGGCGCTAGGCTGGTGTAAGATATAATTCTAAGTGTTCAGCCATAAAAATCCACGAGTTGTGGTCCCACTACAAGCAAGTTTTCAAAAAAAGAAGTAACTTTACACGAGTAGCAATTGAATGTTTAAGGCTTGGAGTTTGTTTTGGAATTTGTTGCAGATTGAGTAAACACTATTCCTGGTTGAACAACTAAACTGCAGTGTAGATAGACAGTCAGACAGACAGACTTACCAGCATAGGTGAATCGTGGCTCAATTTCAGAGGGCGCTGGTGGTGGTGTCCATGAGCGGATTGGGGGCGGTGGGCTGGTGGACCTCCTTGCGAAGGGCGAGGAGGAGCGGGCGCGCAGTGGGGGAACGCTGCCGGCGCGTGGGGGCGCGCTGGCGCCGCGGAGTGTCCTAGCGGCGGGCCTGTACTGGAATAGGGGGATGTACTTGTCCGGGAACAGCGCGTCGATCTCGTCTAGGCGCCTCTGCTGGGCGTCCCAAGCATCCTGGCCCTTGTACACACCGTCCGATGGACCTGCACAACAGGGGAATATGTCACCGCTTGGCCTCTGGGGACTAGGCGATCGACACTAGTGACGGTGTCGTCCGAAAAAGAAATCGGTAAAAACTGGGCGCGTTTCTGTTCCAAGGCCTCTTTTGTCATATGCTTCTATTACTATTTTTCACGGCACTGGCTCAGTGGCGTCGGTGAAGTAGAGTAAATCCATCAGAGTGCAAACGGTTATTCTCATGTGTTTGTCGCATGGTCGATCACGACAGGAGAGACGCACGCTTTTACTATAGCCGTAACTATAATGGTCAAAATGACATCTGTTTTGGCCACGGAGGAGCTCGGCGAAGTAAGGTGCAGATAAAAACAGGGGTGAAAGAAGGGGGAATTTGGGGTTAGCTATAAAATAAATATTACAGGAACAGGAAGAAGAATACGATGAAGAGTTCCACAGTACTTTGTTATCCTCGTCTCTCGGGAAAATACGAGGGGACATTATTTTAGGGTGGTGCTTTTTCTCTGTGTACGTTAAACACAAAAATTCACAGAAATCGTCTACGTATCACTACCACACAAAGTATGACAAAAATGTCTTACCCCATTCACAACACGCACTCGATAGATTACGCTTTCAAAAAAAAAAAGAAGTGATCACAAAAACAAAAGGTTGTCACACTTGTCTACACACTACGCTAGTAGAGAGAGGATATGTCGCTGAACTAAAGGGTATTTTGGAGTAAAAGGTAAGAGGAAAGAGACGTTTTGTAATTTAAAAACGTCTCAACATTATTTTTGGAACTTACAACATTTTAGTTTTCTTGTAACATTTTCTTAAAAAGGCCCACATGCATAGTAAATTATTTGCGATGGTTATTTGACGTAAGTTTAAGGCAACGGTTAACATACTGCTTAATCAACATAGAGCAATCGCTTACCACATGCAGGCTTATCATGCAACAGGAGCAGTCTTACCAGGCATCGAGACAGCAGTTTTCTTCCAAACTGGGTCAGGTAGCAGCTGGGCAAGCAAGGTGGCAAAAAATCCTTGGCATGTGACCAAAATGTCCACGTCGCATTCCAGACAAGCCTCACAAAAAGGAGGATGGTTGGAGGGACATAATGGAACTCAACTCAGTGGACGTTTGACGGGTAGGCGAATTGACAGAGTCGGCCTACAGCCCATTTCATCAAGGCGATTTCTTATCATAAGGAATGAATACTCCTTACTCAAAATATCGGCGGGAAACGTAAAACAAAACATCTTATCACCCAACCAATGGGCAACAGGCGTTTTCTTACAGTTTTTTTTTTTTTTTTTGTTTTTGAAAAAATGAAAAACACTTATTTGGGTGGCAGGTAGTAGCAGTGCCCTAAGCCTAGTTAGAAATGACATGTCGAAACGATAACGAAACAGTCAAAGTAGCGTCGAAACGATATAGTTTAGATATTTTCCGACGTTCATTTCTCGCTAGGTAATCTGAGTTAATTACATTTTGATTCAAAGTATCATAGCTAAATTAATGGTTTCTACTTGTCATTAGATTGCCAACGTCAAAAAGTAGCAATAATATAGCTTCATTAGCAACTACATAAATCGCCGGAAGCATATTAGATAACTTGACTTCTTAGACCTAAACTCAAAGCTACTTTTATTTTTGTGTCTTTTAATTCTTATTTAAGGTAGGTGTGCATGTAGTTTTTGGTTTTAGTACTCCAACTTTGGAGGTGCCGTGATTGTGCTCGGAAAATTAAACTAATGGCGCGGAAGTTTCTACCATTTCCATTCTCAACTCTTAAAATGACAAAAACGACAAAAAGTTGCACTGCTGGAGATTTTTTTTGTGCACTAGATTGCATAACCTTGACTTTTTTCCACAGCACCTGCGTAAAAGGTCTGTTAGCCTGAAAAAATCGTTCACAGGATCTCACACCTTGACAGCATTAGCCATATTTCAGGCTGCATTAGATAGCCAAAGAGCTAAACGGACAAAAGCACAATATGCAAGCCAACACACCGAAAGTACGAAAACTATGCCAAGAAGAGTTTTACTTTAAAACTAGAAAATAGATTTAGGTTCAGAGGGTAACTGAAAAAACAACAGCAACCAATTTTAAGATTCAGTCATTAAAAAAGCAAGATAATGAGACGGAATGTTAAGCCTTCTAGCACACAATATTCATGAATTCTCAATTAGTGGTCCCTATCATAGAAACCTTGAGCTCCAGCTGCCAGACGAAAACGCAAAAAAATTGAAACTTGTGATACTAAAAATGGAATTTAAGGTAGAAACTTCTTTGCAGTGACTACCGTGCTACGTTTCTTTGAATGAGGTAGTGGGAAAAAGTTAACATTCAAAATAACAAGCCATTCAAAATAAGTTTGAAGGACTAGGAAATGGAGGCACTCGAAAATGCTGCATAGTGCAAAATAGGGATGTAGGTGTGTTGGGTAGGGAAGTTAGTAATTCATGAGGGGAAACGGGAACCTCTGTCAATAGTTGGAATTGGAACGGAAGTTACATACAGTATGTATATCATATTGATCAAAAATCAACTTATGTAAAAAAAAACGATACGGCTGTGTGTTACATGATAGTATTTTAAATGTCGAACCGTTTCCAACGTTTGACGGAGATAAAAGTTATAAATAAATATATGAAAACCGGTATTTGCGGCCAAGCTTTAATGACCATCACAATCACATTCCCAAGATCGTACATGGACCAAAATAATCCGAAAAGTAGACAGATACAATGGTGAAAAGGCCTATTGTATACACAAACGAAAAGTAAAATTATATAATCGTTAGAAGAGGAATTAGCTATGATCTACTGGTCGCAATACCTTCACTAAACATAAAGTAAATAGGAATAAGTTGAGAATGCTCACATGAAAATGGCCCATCTATTTTTTTAGTTTTTATTTTTCTATTTGCTTGAGATATACATTGTATATCCAGAGCAAACAGTACTTTCTTTGTTTTCTTATTCCCAACCAAGTATACTTAACTTACAGATTTTAAAGTTGTACATGATTCAAAAATCCACGATTTAAGTGCCCAACAATAACAATGAAATAAAAAAAATGCCAATTTAGAGAACGCCTAGGTTATTATAAATCATTGGCGATCGACAAATTCGCCTGGCAACAGAGCAGAGGAATTGTTTCCAATTTTAACCGTGTTTTTCAATGCTTTTTTCAGAAGTAATTATAAAATATAAATATGAGGGTGAGTGCATATGCCCAAAACCACACACTGATTATTATATACATAATGTGAGTCGCCCAAAACTTGCGGCTGAGGAAAACACACAGTCGGATCTCTGCTCGGATTAGAGACGGAGAACAGGCCCGGACCTCCGGTACTCGTGAGCTGGGCCACGAGTCCTCAGAGGTCTGGTCCCGTTCTCCGTCTCAAAATGCGCGCGGCACGGCGCTTCCCGCTCAATTCATGTACGGTTCAGTCTAGCCTTCGCCAGGCCGTGGCGTGGCGGGCGTGGCGGGCGCGGCGCCCCAGGTGCGGTGGTGGGACCGGGCGGCGTCGCGGTGCGTCGAGGTGGTAGGTCTCCTTAGTACGTACCGGTCCTGTATCGGTCGTAGTAGGACGGCGGGTAGATGTTGCGGGGGCTGATGCCGTACGTCTCCCGGCTGACGGGCACGTATCGGTAGCCGGGCACGTGGATGCGCTCGTTGGCGGCGGTGGGGTCGTCGTAGATGGATTTGTAGGGCCAGGTGGTGGTGTGCAGGTCGGGCAGCTCAGACAGCAGGGGGCGGAAGATGCCTCGTGGCCTAGAGTGCACTGGGTCGGGGGCGCGCATGTCGTCTGTTCCTGTGGACAGCAAAACGGGCAGGTGTTAGGCAACGTCAGCAGTACTCTTAGCCAACATGCAGGGTCATTGATGCAAAACGTCTCCCTGATTTTTTTTTTCTTTTCCTTTCGGGGATGAAAAACATATCAAATTGGAAATTGTGGTCGTATGCATAGTCGTTCATCACAACTCATCAGGCAGGCTTCGGCGGTTTTTCTGCAAAGATGTGCGAGCAGGAAGGCAACCTGAAAAGAGAGGTGCACTGCTTGCTTGCAATAGGGTTTGTGTGGTGCAGGCGTGCGCTCTTACTATGTAATTGCTGTAGCCACTGCCCGTAGGTCTCGGTCTTGGGTGGACGCTCGGCCGACGACGCTACAACAGGGATAATGAGCTATCCGCAAGCCTCCTAGGGCCTGAGGGATGCGCGCATCTCACTACTTAGCTACACGCTACTATATTGTAATGGGCAGTGGGGAGCGAAAAAAGGTTCCCAGCGTTTTTCTAAGTTTTACACAATAATTCAATGGTTCGCGGGGAACTGGAATGGTGGATAGCCAGAAAAAACTAACAATTTCTCATTAATCTAAATCACACGGTTACAACAGAATAATTTATGTCTAGTTTTGAGCAGCAGCAGGCTGGTTAGGGAGGGTCGCAGAATCTACAGGTCGAATCTCGGAAGAGATTTTATTTTCCCCAGAACGACGACCCTCACATTCTGAAATGTTAAGAAAAGCAGATTTCGGTTAGTTCTGTTACATAAGTCTAACATCGAAATGTGTTCAAACCGTTCCCTCGAGGAAAACAATACGGCTTTGAACCAAAACTAGACATTTCTAGGAAATAAATATTATTAGTGAAGTAAGACTGATTAGTACAAATGTGTGTTTTGAGATTGGAGTAACGGTTGGTAAGGAAACATTACCTTTAAGTGAGCGGACGTAGGATTGCCAGAATTTGGCCTTCCTCTGGATCGGCTCGTTGCGGCCGATCATGTCCAAGTGATTCTTGAACATTTTGGATGTGTTGGTTAGATCGAGAAGATCAAAAATCCAGGCAGAGCTGGCGCTCTACCGTCTGAAACAAATTTAAAATAAAACAGTAAAAATTTTGAAGGTTCGCATTCTTGAACGCGCTCAAATTGGGTCGGGTACATTGGGTCTTTGCCCGCCGTCGGTTGCCTGCCTTAATAGTGCTCGACATAATTTTTTATTTGCTGTTGAATGGGACGCCGTCCTGTCGCTTTGAGCAAGTCATCAAAACGCGAGAAGTGGTCTGTAAATGCGACTTTTAACCTCGTATCCCTCGTCCCCCACCCCTTTCCCTCGAAATATAGCGGGAGGAAAGACGCCGCTGGCAGGCAGTGCGTGAGTGGAGAGGTGAGGGGGGGGGGGGCTTCCCGATTCAAAGGGCGCAGAGCTCAACAAAAATAGCGTGTGGAGTGCGGAGGCGGGGGCGCTGCGACACGCCGAGATACACGTCGAGAGGATTCCGAATCCACAAACATTACGACCATTATACCGCGGAGAGTGAGATCGAGCCGTTGGATACCCCGTCTCGGTCACCAGCTCTCAACTTCGTCGCGTCTCACGTCTCTCCAGTCTCTCTCTCTCTCTCTCTCTCTCTCTCTCCCTCCCTCTCTCCCTCCCTCCCTCTCTCCCGTGGCGCCGCCAGCAGTCGTATTTTAAAGCGCGGGATTTCTAACTCCCCACCCCTCCCCTCTAGCTCCTACTCTCTCTCTCTCCC